TAGTGTGGTGGGGTCACCTGTAGTGTGACATGAACCCAATATCCCAATTGAAGCCATCCTCATGGGCTATCAGCCTCTACTCGGTGACACTGCATTGTTGTGTATCATGAAGTCCGCCTTGGAGAACATTTACCTGAAGGTCCGAGGCTGAATCTCCTTGACCCCGGAAGTGTTTCCCCACTGGGAGGGAACATTCCTGTCTGGCAATTGTTGCGCGGTGTCCATTCATCTGTTTTAATAGAGTCGGCATGGTTTCACTGATACGCCATGCCTCAGGGCATCCTTGCCTGCAACATATGAGGTAGACAACATTGGCCGAGTCATATGGGTATCTGCCGTGCACATGGTGGGTGGAGTTCCCACGTGTGTTAGTAATATCCATGTCAAAAATCTGACATGTCTTGCAGAGGTTGCCATGATAGGGGTGTATGGTGTTGTGGTCGATGTTGTCCTGAAGGCTGGGTTGTTTGCTGCGAACAATGGTCTGTTTGAGGCTTGGCAATTGTTTGAAGGCAAGAACTGGAGCCGTAGAAAAGATCTTGGTGAGGTGCTCATCGTCATCGATGATGTGTTGAAGGCTGTGAAGAACATGGTGTAGTTTCTCCACTCCCGGGAAGTACTGGACAATGAAGGGTATCCAATCAGTCATATCTCGTGTCTGTCTTCTGAGGTGGTCATTATGGTTTTTCACTGTCGGAACGAGTGATCAATGAGTTGCGCATCATATCCCATTCTTGTGAGGGCATCCTTCAGGTCTTTGTCTCATTCCTCCTCATCTGAACAGATCCTGTGTATGCGTAGGGCTTGTCTGCAGGGGATGGCTTTTCTAATATGTTAGGGTGGAAGCTAGACAGGTGTAGCATCGCGAGGTTATCCATAGTCTTGGGACAGAGTGAGGTATTGTGATGTTCGTCATTGATAGAGATGCGTGTGTCCAAGAATAAGACTGATTCAAAAGAATAGTCCATGGTAAGTCTGATGGCGGGATGAAACTTGTTGATATCATTACGTAATTGTTTCAGTCATTCCTTGCCATGAGTCCAAAGGAAGAAAATGTCATCAATGTACCTGGTGTAGAGCGTTGATCGGAGATCCTGGGCAGCAACGAAGTCTTGTTCGAACTTGTGCATGAAAATGTTGGCATATTGAGGTACAAATCTGGATTTCATGGCTGTTTTGTGTGTCTGAATGAAGAACTGATTGTCGAACGTGAAAACGTTGTGGTCAAATATGAAGCAGATGAGTTGAGGATGGTGTCTAGAAATTGGTAGTTGTTGGTACTGAGTACTGAGGCTGTTGCAGCGATGCTGTTGTTTTGAGGGATGCTGGTGATTAGTACCAAAATGTCCATTGTGACGGGGAATGTTCCTGGTTCAATTGGCCAGTGGTTGCTGAGTTTGTGTCAGAAATCTGTGGTGTTGCGACAAAAGCTGGGGGTTCCCTCAACAATGGGTTTCAACATGCCCTCAGCATAGCCAGAGAGGTTCTCACACAGAGTCCCATTGCCTAATACGATAGGACCTCCAGGTGTGTTGGCTTTGTGTATCTTCAGAAGGCAGTAGAAGTCCCCTAAGCAAGAAGTATACATGATGAGAGCACGTAGGATACTCTGAAGGACTGGATCAAAAGTCTTGATCAGTCTGTTGAGTTCTTTGGTCGAATCGGTAGGTAGTTGTCTGTCGTGTTCCAGGTTGTTCAGTTGTCTATATACTTCCTTGCAGTAGTCCATTCTATTCTGTATGAAGATGACTCCTCCTTTGTCTGCTGGTTTGATGACAATGTTGCAATTGATCTTGAGAGCATGGATGGCATTGCATTGTGCTTGGCTGATGTTTTGAGCTACCTTCTGAGTGCAGCTGAAGAGTCTGGCATTTACACATTCGCTGACGGCTTGAGCATTCATGTCAAACCCAGAGCAACAACCTCCAGAGGGGCAGTGAGTTGAAAGAAATTCTGGAATTTGCATATTAATCCCTTCTAACTGATTAAAGATTTAACAGCCATCTTAGGTTTGTTCAACACATTCACATCAGTTCGATGACCCTTTGATCTTTTGTTAATAAATTCTGTGTCTGATGGCGCCTCTCTCACTGACACCGGAAGAAGGAGCGTGATTCTGAAAGTTTGTGTCTTCAATTAAACCTGTTGGACTATAACCTGGTGTTGTGTGATTTTTGACGTTGTCCACCCCAGTTCAACACCGGCACCTCCACATTCAGTTAGAGAAGTTAGGGATGGGCAATAAATGCTCTCCTAGCCAATAATTTCTATAAACTGTTAATGAATAACAAAAAAAAGTAGTTTTTGTATTAAAACGGCTCCTTCACACTTGGATATTCAGTTCTGAACATTACTGTGGATATTTTGGATTACAACTTGTATAAAAGCTGCTCCTTCATTCAGCATCTCCTTATTTGGTTTTCACTCGCTACAAATTGTGAAGCAGCTCCGGAAGCGGAGGGGCAGAAAGTGGGCAGAATAACTGGGCTCTCCGATCAACGTCTCTCACAGCCAGTCAAGGACAGAAATACATTGAAATCCCAACCACAGTCAACGTGCAAATTAATCTATTTAATCATTACGTGCGTAGTGCTGAAATTGGAAGTGCGCACCTGGAAACCCAGTGACAAGAACCCAGACCAATTTTTTAAAGCACTCAACTTTGTCTCCCCTCCTTTGCACTCCCATACCCACCTCTTTCACCCTACTACACCCTTCACTCCCTTATTTGTGCTGAAGGTCCTGTCCTCGTTTCAGCTCCCGTCTCATTTAAGATTGGAGATCGAAGGTGCACTGCTTCATGGTATGGTCCTCAGATCGTTTCTTTCCCTTATGCAGTTTGCGCTTGCTATTTCTTTCCAACTGATTTTCTGTTTTGTCCAGTGGTGAGTGGCATTTCTTTCTGAGGTTAAGGTCATACATCTCATATTGATGTTATCAGTTTGAAAACTTCCAAGAAAGAATGCTGAACCAGCACTAGGAATTTATGACAAACTTTGTTTCTATTCCTGTATGATATGTGGGTGTTGCTTCCCATCCTGAGTTGCCATTGAACTGAGTGGCTTGTTCAGGCATTTCAGAGGGTGATTAAGAGGGAACCAAATTGTTGTGTGAGACAACAAGGTGCAGGGCTGGATGAACACAGCAGGCTAAGCAGCATCATAGGAGCAGAGAGGCTGACGTTTCGGGCC